CATTAATGGAATCGCACAGCTTGTGCTCTTTTGTGTCTGGCTTCTTTCATTTAACATTGTAGCTCTGAGCTCCACCCTGTTTTGCACGTAGCTATAGTTTGCTTTTTGTTGTTGCTGAGTAATAGTCCATCATCCAAACACACCACAGTTTGTGTATCCATTCTCCTGCTGATGGGCACTGGGTTATTTCTGGTTTAGGGCTGTTATAAATAACACTGCTGTGAACATTCTTGTACATGTCATTTGATGGACATAAGTGCTTGTATGTCCCAGGAATGGAATTACTAGGTCACGGGGCAGATATATGTTTAGCTTTAGTGGATTCTGCCAGTTTCCCATTTGGTGTTCAATTTACATTCCCTCCTGTATTCATCTGATCTTGCACAGCTCCCCACCTGTATTAGTCTGATCTCTCCCAGATATAAATACATACCTGAGACTTGGTAATTTATATAAAGAAAAAAAGAGGTTTAATTGGCTCATGGTTCTGCAGACTGTATAGGAAGCATGGCTGGGGAGGCCTCAGGAAACGTAGAATCATAGCTGAAGGGGAAGGCGAAGCAGGCACATCTTACGTGGCCAGAGCAGGAGGAAGGGAGCAAAGTGGGAGGTGCTACACACTTTAAAACAACCAGATCTGGCCGGGCACGGTGGCTCCCAGCACTTTGGGAGGCCGAGGCGGGCGGATCACGAGGTCAGGAGACCGAGACCATCCTGGCTAATATGGTGAAACCCTGTCTCTACTAAAAATACAAAAAATTAGCCAAGTGCTGTGGCAAGTGCCTGCGGTCCCAGCTACTCCAGAGGCTGAGGCAGGAGAATGGCATGAACCCAGGAGGCGGAGCTTGCGGCGAGCCGAGATCATGCCCCTGTACTCCAGCCTGGGCGACAGAGCGAGACTCTGTCTCAAAAAAAAAAACAAAAAACAACCAGATCTGAGTCATGATCCAATCACCTCCCACCTGGCCCTTCCTCCAACACTGGAATTAAAATTCAACATGAGATTTAGGTGGGGACACATATCCAAGCCATATCAGAGTGTAGTTGCTCCACATCTGTGCCAACACACAGTACTGCCGGCCTGTGGCATTTGCTCCAGACCCGCTTGTTGAGTGACTTCCATTAAGCTCCACTGTGCAGCAAGGCCTCTGTTTTCCTTTATAGTACTTTCTGACTTTAGAGGGAGAGTTATGAACTGCCAAGGTGCTTTTCAACTGGGGAATCCTGATTGAGAGGATGGTGAGCGGGGAGAGCTCCCTGGAGTGGATTCGCTGCTGATCCTGTCCTGGACGCCAGGGCATGAATGCACCTGGCTGTGCAGCCCAGGCTTCTCTTAGCACCCACTTCCATACTATGGTGCCACCCAGATCCCTGCAGGGGCTGTTTGGGAAATAGGGTCACACTGGACAGTCCTTTTTAGTTCAGAGCAACACAACCGTTCCCACCTCATCCTCCCCGTCACTGCCATTGGGCTCTGAGGACCCACTTCTGCTCGAGGGTTGCTTTTTTTATTTTCTGTTTTTGTTTTCTTGAGATAGGGTCTCACTCTGTTGCCCAGGCTGGAGTGCAGTGGCTCGATCACAGATCACTGCAACCTGTGCCTCGTGGGGCTCAAGAGATTCTCCCCGCTCAGCCTCCCAAATAGCTGGGACCACAGGTGTGTGCACCACCATGCCCGACTAGACTAATAAGGTATTTTTTGTAGAGATGGGGTTTTGCCATGTTGCCCAGGCTGGTCACGAACTCCTGGGCTCAAGGGATTCACTGGCCTTGGCTTCCCAAAGTGCTGGGATTATAGGCGTGAGCCACTGTGCCAGGCCTGAGGGACCCATTTTTGAATACAGACCCCAGCCTGTGTCCTGAGGTGTTATACTTACCGGTGGCGCAGAAAGGACCCCTGCACATCGCACCCATTGTGTCCTTGTCTACTGGCTGATGCCCAAAATTCTACCCTTAGTGCTTCATGCTTTTACCTCTCAAGGGCATGATCCTTGGGGACATGGCAGTGACCCTGGTTAGAGTGGGCCTGTTTTCCTTTAAGTGACTGGTATCCCAGTGTGAACAAAGGATGTGTGAGTAGGTTTCGATAAGGCAATACAGCAAGGACACTGAGTCCTTGAGGGGAAGGTTTAAAAGGAGATGAAAAGGGCCTACTTGCGGCTGGCTGACCTTGGTGCCACAGACGCACATTTCAGCCATCAAGGATGAAGGCTCAGAAGACTCTGAAGCAACTTCAAAGGAATCGCTCGGATCACAGGTGGGGTGAAGGTTGGAGATAAGAACGCAGGGCCAGGGAAAGAGACCCAAGGGAGCCTCGTTTGGAAGCAGAGCTCTGGAAACAAAAGACTGCAGAGCCAGGGTCAAGCTGGGCAACTGTTTGAAGCCGGCCCCATCCTCAGGTGCAAGAAAGAGCATCCTCTGGGTCTAGGCCTGAGTTGTGTGCGGAGGACACAGGCTTTCCTGGGCGGGCCCTCAGGCTTCTGGCTCCACTCATGCCTGTGGCACACACACAGATTTTGATAGCCAGAGCCTCGCCAGTCCTCCTTTTTCTGCTCCCTGTCTCTCCCGGGACCAGGACTTGGCCTCTCCCCTCTACCTTCCCTTTTCTTCCTCCTTCCCCTGTCTCCTTCTCTTTAAATTTTGTGATTTTTAAGTTCAACTGATTTATTGTCCCTCCTTGTCCCCAGCCTCCCAGTTCTCCTCCCCAGAGGAAACCAGTTTCACCAGCTGCATGTGTAACTTTCCAGAGATACTTTATGCACACGAATGATGTGCATGTCCCCTTTCTCTATACAAATGGTAGCATACTTTTTATACTGTTCTAGGCCTCATTTAAAATTTTAAAATTAAATATCGAGTAGATACAAAAATAGTATAGAATATATATACATTTTAAAAACACTCACAATACAATAGGCCAGCATGGGTACCCACGCCCTATTCTAGACAAAGAAGCTGGGCTTTTGAAACCATGTACCTCTCTCCAGGCCCACCTCCTCTTCCCCTAAATACTACCATGAATTTTACGCTTATCCTGCGCTTTTTGTTTCTTTATAATCCTACTGCTTGTTTATAATAGATTACAATAAATATATTTTTATACTAAATAAGATAAATGTAATAAACATTGTATGTAACGGACATAAATATATATATAACACATTAATATGGTATACTGCCTCACTTTTTTGGATTATGAACAGTTTTCTACAGCTTGCTTTTATTTCACCCGTAATTATAGTTCTGAAGTTCAGTGTACTGATATGCATGTCTGGAGTTAGTTCATTTTTCACTCTTGTATAGAATTCCATTGCACGGGGATACTATGATTATCTTCATTGGACTATTTATTTATTAATATTATTGTTTTCTAATTTATTTTTTGAGACAGGGTCTCACTCTGTTGCCCAGTCTGGAATGCAGAGGTGCAATCATGGCTCACTGCAGCCTCAACCTCCAGGGCTCAAACGATCCTCCTACCTCAGCCTCCCAATTAGCTGGGACTACAAGCATGAGCCACCACAGCTGGCTAATTTGTAAAACTTATTTTATAGAGAAGAGGTCTCACTGTGTTGCCCAGGCTGGCCTTGAACTCTCAGCCTCAATAGTCCTCCTGCCTCAGCCTCCCAAAGGGTGGCTTGTGCCTGCTGGGATTACAGGCATGAGCCACTGTGCTTGGCCTCACTGGACTATTTTAGGACTTTGGGTTGCTTTCAATTTTGGGCTTCTAGGAACAGAGCAGGTACAAATGTTCTTAACTGTTTCTTCTGGTGTGTGTTGGGGGGAATGTTAGGGGGTGGGGGTTGGGTAAGAACTTCTCTAGGGCATTTGCAAGGTCACTGAGAAAGTACATCGTCAACTTCAGTAGATAATGCCAAAGTTTTAAAAAGTGGTTATAACCATTCACACACCCGCTAGTAGTTTGAGCATTCCTCTGGCTCCACTTCCTCACCAACACCTGCAATTATCAGCTTTTTAATTTTGTAGATGGTTTTGTGTGAAATTGTAACTCACTGTGGTTTTAGTTTTCATTTCCCTGGTTATGCATGCTGCATTGTTTTACTTAAAATATGTCTTGGTGACTATTCCATATCAGAGCAGTGAAGACTTCCTCCTCCTTTCTTGACTGGAGAGTGTTCCATCGTCATATGAAAATCTTGTGGTCAATTTAACCCGTTCCCTATTGATAGACACTGAGTGGGCTCCAGCCTTTTGCAGTCGATTCTGCGATGCATAACTTTGTGTATAGATAGCAGGGCGCAGCTGCACATGGGGGTGTGGACATGTAGGTTTTTCACAGGAACTTCCTGAGATGCTTAGAAGAAAAGGAAAGATAGTGTTTGCTCCCCCTGGCCCTGTGCCTCCCTATTTTCAACAAATTCCCTTAATTCCATGAGTGCCCCAGGGTCAGAATGACATCCATCCTGTCCTGTTTGTACTGCACCATCTTTTCTCTCAGGTGATGATGTTCCTCTCCCACCTACATCCCTTCGAGCCACTCCCACCTCCACAAAGACTCCTCAGGAATTGTCTCTACCCGGCATCTCTTACTTTTTCTTTTCTTTTTCTTCCTTTCTCTCTTTCTCCCTCCCATCCCTCCTCCGTTCCTTCCTCCGTTCCGTCCTTCCTTCCTTCCTCTCTTATTTTTCTCTCTCTTTCTCTCTCTCTTCTCTCTCTCTTCCCTTCCCCTAACTCCCTCTCCCTCCTCCCTTCTTTCTTTCCTTCTTTTTTTCTTTCTTTTTTTTTTTTTTTTGATTCAGGTCTTCGCCTCTTGTCCCCAGGCAGGAAGAGCAAGTGGTGCAATTTCATAGATCAACTTAGCCCCAAAACACTCCTTGGACTAAACAAGTGACCTAACTTGCTCATAGACAAAAGCCCTAGGACTACAAGCTTGCTCGCCAAGACAAACAAAATACCAATAAATTAATATATATATATAATAAGACCAGGGTCTTTGCTCATGTTCCTTATAGGCTAGATTCTTTCAACATAACAGGCCTCAAGCAATCCTCCCTGCTCAGCGTCCCCAGTCACTGCTAGACAACTTTCCTATGAACATCCCCATCTCGAGAATTCAAGTTAGTATTAACTGAGGGATTAGACTTTGCCTGGCCCTGAAAGAGAGAAAAATAAGCTGACCACCACTCTAGAGAGTGTTTAGTCTCAAAAGTGGGCACAGTAACACACACACACACACATAAAACCAACCAACCAAACAAAAAAACAGGTAAAGGCAGACAAATCCCAACCCATCCCCTATGTGCTATGCCCTGGGCAAACCCTCTGACATCCCTCAGACTCAGCTTCTTTCTCTATGAAAAGGGACAATAACACTTACCTCTTGTGGGTGTGAGGCAGATGAGGGCCAATGTTAATAAACCACTCACATTCATGCACTCACTAGTCCAAGCTTTCATTGTTGTCAATGATAATTCTAATTCGAGCAAGCTATGAAGAGGCTATGACAGACACAAAATCAGCCAGAGGGGAGCCCACATTGGAGGGCAGCCCACATCAGAGGGCGTCCTGGTGGAGGAGATGATTGAGCTGTTTCTATCAAGGTAAGCATTGTATAGGCAAGTGGGAAAATGTGCATGAATGCATGGTAGGGGATGGTGAGAAGATTCTTGAAGGAGAGATCTGCAAAATCAGAAGCATGGAGAGTGAGGGAGGAAAGATTTGGACATGTTTGGGAACCAGTGTGTAAGTGGGGAGAGATGTGGATTGTAAAGGGTGTGGGACCTACTGCCCGAGAGGTGGCAAGAGCTCCATCTTTGAGAACTCAGTGGGCAAAACGAAGTCCTGGGGTGGGCCCAGGAATTGGCCCTGCACCAGAAATTCAGATGCACACTTGTGTTTGAGAATTGCTATTTTCATCTGAGGAAGGAGGTGCCGCCCAGGATGAAGGGATGTGGGGTTCAGTAGAGCAGGACCCTACTACCAGAGAGCCCAGCAGTTAGTCTGCAGGGGGCTTTGCTTTGGGAGGAAGCCTGGGGGCTGGTATTGCTTTTGACTCAAGATACTCACCTCCCCGAACTCTGCTTTGATGTGGTATCCTGCAGGCATAAGGACTGCCATGAGCTGGCGCCTGGGGCATTGCATGGGAAAGGAAAAGATGAATTGCATGTGCCCTCCAGGAAGTTTGGAAGCCAGTCTGGAGAGTGGGAAGCCAGGGCTGACTAAACATCTATAGCAACCATTTCCAGCTAAGAGCTTTAAACTCATTAGTCTCAATCTCCCAACAGTCCACGGGGGTTGGAGGCATTATGTAATTGTCATGCCCCTTTCCTGCACAGATTGAGCCCCAGAGAGGTTGAGTAGCTTGGGCAAGGTCACACAGCTGGGAAGTAGTGGAGCTGGAATTCACAAGTCCATCTGATTCTAGAGCCCATGCACAGTGTTTCTTTCTCTCCCTTCCTCTTCCACCTCCTCTTTCTCCTCCTCCTCCTTCCTCTCTCTCTTTTAGATATTGCATTTACATGGTCTCAAAATCAAAGAGTACAAAAGGATATACAGTGATAATCCTCCTCCTCCTATTTCCCAGTTTTCCTTCCTAGAGAAAACTAACGGTACTCGTTTCTTGCAACTAGCTTTAGAATATTCTATTCATATATAAATGAGTATATTCCATAGATATTCTTCCCCATTTTTTAGACCAAGAAAAAAAAAAAAAAAAAGGTGGCATCCTATATGTACTGTTTGGCACTGAGGTTTTTTTGTGTGTGTTTTTTTTAACTTAGTATTTATTGGTAGTCTTTCTGTATCAGTTCATAAAGAGCCTTTCCTTATTCTGTTTATTATCTGCATATTCAACTTATCCTCTATTTGGTGGATGTAGAGGGGGCTTCCGACCTTACGCAGTTACAACCCATTCTCTGTGAGCATCCCTGACCTCAGGTGCAGAAGGCATGAGCAGCACATCTGTCAGATAACACATCTGTCAGATAACACCCTAGAAGGGGAGATGCTGGTGCCACTCATTACCTTCTCCTCAAATCTGCTCACAGACTTAACCATAATGACACTTCTTTCTTCTATAATCTGGCTGCTCAGGCATGTTCCTCTGACAGCACTTTCTCCCACAGACTCTGTTGCCAAACTTGGGTCTGCCCACCAGGTGCAGCAAAGCCAAGCACTGACATTGCAGCGAGAGAAAGCGAGGCATTTACTGCAGGGCACCAAGGAATGAGAGTCAGGCAGCTCATGCTTAAGTCCTGAACTCCTCAGTGGCTCACAGGTAAGGGTTTTTAAAGGCAGGGAGGCAGAGGTTACAAGCAAAGTCATAAATCAATTCGTGGAGGCTGTGTATCGGTTTGACCTAAAAGGGTGGGACATCTTGAAGCGGGGCCTGCAGGTCATAGGTGAATTCAAAGACCCTCTGATTTGTGATTGGTTAAGGAGGCAAAGCTTTGTCTAAAAACCTGGGGTCAGCAGAAAGGAATGTTGAGCTCTGGACTGTGGGCGTGACTTCCTCCAGGCCCCTCAGGAAGAAATGTTGAACAAAGAATGGTGGTCTGAGTTCAGTCCTCGGCTCCCAACTGAAGTCTCCGTGCCAGTGGATGGCATTTTCCACTGTGGGGGGCCTGGGTTTCTGAAAAACAACTCAGAAACGTACATTAAGATGTTATCTTAAGTTTCAATAGGGAACCAAGTATTTTGTGACTAACTTCCTTGGCTATTTTCATAAAAAAGCTATTATTACCTTCTTGCTTATTGTGTTCATTTACTCTCAGGACTAGCTAGGTGCCTGGAATTTCCCTTGAAAGAACTCAAGATTTTCCTTTATTTCCATTCCTGGCAAGGGAATTATGCCTGGCAGGCCCTTAAACTCTGTCTCAACTCTGACTATCTGGATGCTGGTCCTGTCTTCCGGGCACTGCTGCGGGGAGGGGTGGGTGGCTCTGCCCCTGTGCCCAGCACACAGTAGTGGGCACTCAGCATGGGGGAGCTGCATCTGCTCTTCTGGGGCATTGTCATTTACCTTCAAGGAGCATTTCCTCATTCAGTCCTCACAACAGCCTTGTGGGTACCTGGCAGGAACCGTCATCCCCACGTTACAGGTGGGCAAACAGGGGCTCAGGGACATCCTGATTTGGCCTTGGCCTCATTGGCTGAGGAGGAAATCCAGGCCCCCTGACTCCCCACACAGTCTCACTCCTCGCCCCGCCCCTCCACACTGCCTCCCAGCGGCTGCTGAAATGCAATTAGTCAAGGAAGGACCTGCTTTTCAGCTTTATACTGTCTTGTTATTCCACACACAGAAATACCAATGGCACAGGGCCATCTCAGCCTGTTTTTGTTTGCCAACAAACATGAGAAAGATTAGGATATCTAGCCAACATTTTGTGAGTCCTCACAACACTGCAGGCAGGTCTCTGTGCACATATGTGCTCATCTACTTCTCAGAAACAGAGGGGTGGGGGCTGGTATCACCCCTGCTGCACAGATGAGGATAACAAGTAGCAGGGAGCAGAGCCAGGGTTTAAACAGATCCCACAGTTTTAGATTTTTTTTTTTTGACAAGGTCTTTCTCTGTCACCCAGGCTGGAGTGCAGTGGTACAATCATTGGTTCACTGCACCCTCCGCCTCCCAGGTTCAAACGATTCTCCCATCTCAGCCTCCCAAGTAGCTGGGATTACAGGTGCGTCCACCACCACGCCCAGCTAATTTTTGTATTTTTACATGTTGCCTGGCCATGTTGTCCAGGTCGATCTTGAACTCTTGAACTCAAGTGATCCACCCACCTTGGCCTCCCAAAGTGCTGGAATTACAGGTGTGAGCCACCGTGCCTGGCCAGATCCCGTGTTCTTAATTCCTCCTATCAATCAATTACATTAGTTATATGATACTGATAAATTGTCATTATCAATGTAATTCAAGCCTCTGCTGAAACGGTGGCGATCTACTTGGTATGATTTCAGAGACAACAGGAAGGTCCTTTACGCATAAGAAACTAGACGCCTTCCCACCCAGCTTCGAGTCACTCACAATTGCACAACTCGAGCTCCATCCTTTTCGCCCATGACTTTGAGCCCCGTTGAAACAAGATCCTGCCAGGTGTTTCTCAGTCTTCTAATGCTCAGGCCTGCTTTTCGTGCCATAAACAGCTCTGTCCCTTTCTGTAGTTCTGATTATGAAAACTAAAGGTTCTTCCCACATGTAAAATTACACAGTACTCTTAAATATGTCTTCTCGAACTCCATCGCCCCATCCCAGACTCAGGACTAGCCTCCGGCGCGCTTACCGCTGTCTCTGCTTTCCGCACTCCCTGCAGATTTTAGCTCCCATCTCGTGTCCTCTCTCCAGCTCCTCCTGCCTCCTGCATGTTGGTTTCACCATCTACTTACCAGCCTCGCCGATGGTGCCCTGGCCTCCCAGTTCTTTGACCTCCTCTCCCCAGTGATCTTCTGGGGCTCAGCACTCAGGTTCACCGTCAGGCTTGAGCCCTCCAGAGAAGCCACTGTCAAACGTCTTTCCGGCTCCTACCTTGAAGCCATCGCCCCCTCAGGGCCCTACAGTCTACTGACCTCACCCCCATTCAAATCCCTACTCCCTCCTTTACCAGCCTAAATTCCAGGGTTAGTTATTCTAGTCCCTACCTTTTCTGTACTCTCCCCTCTGCACCCCAAGCTGGACTGTACTCGCTTGGCAAAACCCCAATCCAGTTAGATCCAGCTCTCTGCCAGCTCTGCCTGGTCTACTGTGTGTCTTACTTGCTTATTTTATTACCTCTGAAGCCCCCACCAGCATGTTGACCCCACGGGGACAGGGGCTACGTCCCTGCTACTCTGCCCTAGCAGCCAAAGAGTATCTGGTACATAGTAAGTGCATATTCATTAAAGTATATAGTTGAAGAACGATTTTTTTCCTGCGTGTGGAGAAGGATCTGAGAGCAGGTTTACCATAGTATCTGGAAAAAAGTAGAGGGTGGAAGTTGCATTGTGTCCAAGTGGGCTAGAGGAGGGTCGAGGAGGCAGGTATAAGGAGGCAAAGCCCAGGGGCTTCTTCAGTTTGCCCAAGAGAATGCCACCATTCTTTCCTAATTAGCTCTTTTTGGTCTGAGAGAAGATCTTAGAAGAGTATTTCATTCTTGAGCTCTAATCATAGGATTCTGAACCTTTACTAAACTGTTGCTTCCTCCAGTCTTGGTTACTCAAGGCTCCCGAGCCAACTTTTGGATGGCTGTGATTATCTGGGATGTCTCAGGAGTGACTAACCACTTACCTCTTCCAAGTTCTGAATTTTACAACAGGAAATTGAGCCCAGAGAACAGCAGGACACATGGGTGCTGCTGGTAGAGCCGGAACTGGAACCCAGATCTGCCTCCAGTCCCGGGCTCGTCTGCTACCCTCTGTGTGCCATGCCCTCTCTCTGTTGTCACATGCAATCACTTGCCTGATTGTCTACACCCTTAAAAGAAGCAGAGAAAATGTTTGGTGTAATCCACACTGAACACTCAGATGAACAATGCTGTGGGAGGGAGATGGTTAAAAAAAAAAAAA